AGGACCTAGTGTCAACCGAGTTCAGTTGGAGGACGCCTGAATCTGCTCAGAGGTAGAGAACAGCCCAGTTGACTCAGAAGTTGGCATAGAACTGCCCAAGTTGGCCACAGAAGCTGTGGCAGCTGATAGGGTAGAGAGCCCAGACATCCCTGGACAGGAGAGAGGATGACGCGGGTGTGCTGTGTCACCGAGGTTGTTCTACAGCACAGCAGGACTGATCGTTGGTACGCACACTCACACCTGAGGTTGTATTTTCTGGGAAAGGACCCCTCTGTCCCACCGAGCACAACCCAGGGTTCTGGGGAGAGGAAGGAGGCATTCCTAAAACGGTTATAATGTAGAAATTCTGAAAGAGGCATTCCTACCTCCAGCCTCGACCCTTGGCGCTGCTGTCTCCTAGACGGGTGTTTCGGGCCTCCTCCCCTTCAAATCTCCAACATCTCTACCCAGGCTTAATCTCAGAGCAATGGAATGAGTGTCTCCTGGGGTACCCTATCTATGAACAGACCAGGAACTTTGCTGCGGGGGAAGTGGCCAAGTTTCTTGGCCGTTGCCGTAAGGTGTCTACTCATTCCCCAGTAGACGGGCAGCGTAAGACCAGGAGATTCCATGGGTCTTATTGCCACATGCATTTTCCCATCCTGAATTCTTTGGTTGGAGACGATGTGTGGGTTACCATGACAACATATAGGGCATCTGAAAATCTTCAGATGGTGGTGTTGGCAGAAGCTGTACAAGTAGGGAGAGTGAGGATGCCAGCTGCCTTCATGAGGGAGCGATGCAGTGGCGATCAGCCTGCCCTGGGTGGCTGGCTAGCCTCTCCCCATGTTGAACATCAGGGTTCAGTGCCAACCTCTGCTCTCCTGTAGAAATCTGAGAACTTAACAGTAATACCTAAGCCTTAATAAAAGAGTCCTGCCTGGAAGGCTTGGGGTGATGGCGAACAGCCACGGAACAAAACTGTGATTGCAGGAGTCTGACTACCGACTTCAGGGACCTTTCCTGCTGCAGGTGCCCCCATGGAAACCAACATAGCATTCAGATATTTCCATAGCACATTTCCGTTCACGAGCCACGCCCCTGCCCAGCGCTCCCGCAACCCCCTCCCCACCATCTGGCCTCCAAGTTTCAGACCATCATGGCAATCTGCTGCCCACTTCTCATCAGTGTAGAACCACACCCCGAGCCCTCTCGTCTCTAAAGCAAACTCTCACAGTTGTGGCAGATTCGCCACAGCAGTTTCCCGGGAGTCCTTCTCCATGGGTGTGCAGCTCCGTCAAGTGATTGCATTCGAGCAGGAACTCCCCAACAAGCCAGACTGTGAGCTGGGGAAGAGGCAGGTCTCAGAGTCTGAACCACGGCCCTAGGAGATTTATTTGTGCCTTTTAGACTCTCTTACATTTGTTCTCCCGGGTACAGTCGCCTTTACCAATGCCAGGAAAACTCCACCTATGCCGCTGTATGGTTCAGAGGACCAGACCGCCTCTCAGTGCATGCCGAGCAGTCCCGCCTTGCTGGTGCTTTCACAAGAACCCTTTGTTCTTACGGGGTCTGGGCTCAGATTTCCTGGCCGATTTAGTGTTTCCAAGGCTCATCGTCCTGTATTATGCGACCATGTTTCCATCTGACTCCACTTTCCCTTTCTCCCAAACAAACTGCCCTTGAATGCTGAACTGTTTGTAAAAATTCTGTTTCTTTTTATTTAAAATCTTCATGGGTATAGTGGCAACAATCTATAATCCTAGTAACTCTGGAGGTTGAGGCAGGAGGATTGCCTGAGCCCAAGAGTCTGAGGCCATACTGAGCAATATAATGAGATCTTCTCTTAAAACTTTTTAATTAATTAATTATTGCTGCAGAGTCTCACCATGGAGTCCTGGCTGACCTAGAGCTTGCTGTGTAGTCCAGGCTGGTCTTCAACTCACAGAGATCTGAGTGTGCTGGAATTAAAGGCATGTGCCACCATATCTGACCTTTTTTATTTGTGTATTTCATTTTAAATTTGCCTTTGGTTTTTGCAGCTCTGTGTTTTCTCTCCTTGAGCTGTTACTAAGATCTATTTGACTTTGTCTTTGGCGGTGTGCTACAGTGGGATTGGGTGCGGTTTTCATCATATTTATTCTGCTTAGAGGTCATACAGGACTTCATATCTTTCTTCTATTTAAAAATTCTCTCCCTCTCTCTTTCTCTCTCTCTCTCTCTCTCTCTCTGTGTGTGTGTGTGTACACTCAGGTGCATGTATGTAGACGTCAGAGATCAACTTCAGCTGTTTTCCTCAGTCATCCATACCTTGTTTTTTTGTTTTTTGTTTATTTTTTTATGTTTTTGCTTTGTTTTGTTTTGGGTTTTTTTTGTTTGTTTATTTTTCCCTCGAAACAGGTTTTCTTTGTAGCTTTGAAGCCTGTCCTGGAACTCATTCTGTAGACCAGGCTGCCTCGAACTCACAGAGCTCTGCCTGTCTCTGCCTCCTAAGTGCTGGGATTAAAGGTGTGTGCCACCACCACCTGGCCTATCTCGGTTTTTGAAAACAGGGTCTCTCACTGATCCAGGCTCAGTGACTGGCTAGACTCACTGTTCAGTGGGCCACACACTCCAGGGACCCACACGTCTGTTCCCCCAGCACTAGGGTTACAGATGCATGTCTTCACAGCCAGGTTTTCGGGTTTTTTTTGCTTTGTTTTGCTTTGTTTTGTTTTTTTGTGGGTGCTGGGAATCCAAATTCAGGTCTTCATGCTTGTATGGCAGGCACTTAACCAAGTGAACCATCTTTCCAATCCCGTGTTTTGAAAATCGTTGGCCACTATCTCTTATATATCACTCCTTCATTGTCCTGCTCTGTCAGAGACACCAGTATCATGATACCAGACTTCCACTGGGTCCATCCATCTCTCGAGTCCTTTTCTGTATATTATTGTATTTAATGTGTATGTCTGATGTAACATGAGGGACGGCTTGTTGGGATTTCCGTCCCGCCCGGTACCCCAACAGCCGGCAAATCCCAAAGAGAAATTACACACAGGACTCCATAAGGTTATAAACTGATTGGCTCATTAGGTCAGGCTTCTTGTTAACTCTTATAACTTATATTAACCCATTATTCTCATCTATGTTAGCCATAATGGCTCAGTACCTTTTCCAGCAGGGGCAGCTTACATGTTGCTTCTTCAGTGATCTGCGCAGGAATGCTGAGAGAGTTTCTACTTCCAGAATACTCCCAGTCTCTTTGCTCCACCCTTACTTCCTGTCTGGCTTTCCCGCCTATACTGCCTGCCTGGCCAATCAGCATTTTATTAAAATATGATTGACAGAATACAGACAATTCTCCCACACCAGTCTGAATATGTGCATTTGGTTACATAGTTGTGTGGCGGTCAGACAACTTTCAGGAGTTGATTTTCTGCCATGTGATACCAAGGATTGTAGTGATGTTTCATTTGTATTTTATTAAATAAAGCTTGCCTGAAGATCAGAGAGTAAAACAGTCACCCTTGTAGTCAGAGGCTGCTCATTTGTTCCTGGCTTCCCAGACTTGAAGCAACCACACAGAAACTATATTAATTGCAATACTGTTTGGCCAATAGTTCTAGATAGTTCTTATATCCTAAACTAACCCATCTCCATTAATCTGTGCATCACCACAAGGTTGTGGCCTACTGGCAAAGTTTCAGCAGGCTCTGGCAGAGGCATCTGTCTCCTGTGGTGGCTACATGGCTTCTTCCTGACTCTGCCTTCTTTCTCCCAGCATTCAGTTTAGTTTTCCCACCTAGCTCTATTCTGCTGAGCCACTGGCCAAAACAGCTTTATCTATTAACCGATAAAAGCAACACATATACAGAAGGGCTTCCCACACCATGCCTTGATCAGTTTTACACACCAGGCAGTAGTGACACACACCTTTAATCCCAGTAGTCACACTAGTTCACCGTAGAAACCAGGCAGTAACCGTGCACGCCTTTAATCCCAGCACTGAGAGAAATCTAAGATGGGAGGAGACAGCTCTCAGACACAGTCTCATTCTGAGATTCCTGGAGGCAGGATTGCCATTTCAGACTGAGGTAGAGGTAAGAGCAAGTGGCTGGTTGTTTTGTTTTTCTTATCTTCAGGTTGTACCCCGATATCTGTCTCTGGAGGTTTTTTTTATTAATTTTGCAACAAAAGATGGAACTCAGGACACCAGACTTGCATTAGTGAGGGCTTTGTACCTGCTGAGCCACCTCAACACCCATCTTGTCTGGTCTTTGGAGTGACCGTGTCTCTCATGCTGACCAACTGTGAATGAACAAATTCTCTTATTTGCTCTTCTGGTCTACTATGCAATCTCTCTTCTCAAATCTTAATTTCAGTTATTATATGTTTCAGTTTATTATTTAATTCACTTTTTGGCATTTCTAGTATTTTTTCTAACAGCTTTATTGGGAGGTAATTGACACACACCAAATTGCAAATATTTAAATGTATAATTTGATGACTTTTACCACCATCCTAATCAAGGTAATGAATGTATCCATCATCCCTGGAAGCTTCCTTGTGTCTTTTGGCGATCCATTTATTTCTTCTCCCATCATCTCTCGGCAGCCACTGAATTATCATTTTAGTAATCTGAACTTTCTCTCACTCGACGTTGTTTGAGGCGTTCCTGTGTTGTCTGTATCAATAGCTTGTTGTTCTTATTGCTGACCAGTGTCATGTATTTGCCTTTGGTGGAAATTAGGGAACTAATTTTAAAAGAGTCGCTATGATGTCTCCATACAAGTCTGTTTCTACAGCTGTGTCTTCATGGCTCTTATACAAATGCTTAGATGAGAAACGGGCGGGTCACATGGTAGGTACATGCTATTGTTTGAACCTAAAATGTTCTCAGAAGTCTCAAAGGTTCCATTGTCAGGTGATGGGCTTTGAGGACATGATTGGATCCTAAGAGCTCTGACTTCATCAGGGGGACTAAATCATTTATGACTTCATAGTTAAGGGGGCTGCTAGAAGGTAGAGCATGGTTGGAGGGAGCAGGTCACTGGGAATATGACTTTGAAGGGTGTATGTCGTCCCTGGCCCCTTCCTCTCTGTCTCTGTTTCCTGGCTGTCATGAGGTGAGCAGTTTTCCCCATCATGCATCACCTCGCCGCAGGTGTAAGGACAACAGAGCCCCTGGCTGTGATGGAGTCTCTGAAACTGTGAGCCACAAGAACCTTTTCCTCTTAAGCTGTTCATGTCAGGAGCCTTCTCACTGAGTATGCATTTCTGCCAAGCTGTACTTCTGCTGGTGGTGTATGAAGGTCCCCTTTGTTCTGCATCTCTGCCAACAGTTGCTGTACTCTGTCTTAGCTGCTTCTCAAAGTTTGCAGTGATAACTTGCTTGAATTCCATTTTCATTTTCCTCAGTGACTGGGAGCACTGACCATCTCCCCATGCTTATCTGGACAGGGGCTTATTCAGATATTTGCCTCTCTCCCTCTTACACACAAGTGTCTCTCCAGCTGATGGCAAGTGCCCTTACACACGAGTGTCTCACCAACTGATGACAAGTGTCCTTACACACGAGTGTTTCACCAACTGATGGTAAGTGTCCTTACACACGAATGTTTCACCAACTGATGGTAAGTGTCCTTACACACGAGTGTCTCACCAACTGATGGTAAGTGTCCTTACACACGAGTGTCTCACCAGCTGATGACAAGTGCCCTTACACACGAGTGTCTCACCAGCTGATGGCAAGTGTCCTTACACA